AATTTCCTTTAACATCCAGCATGTCCCAGCAGCAGGCTAGGGGAAGACATTTTTCCCCTGTCTAACCATGCACAGGGTTGCATGCATAGAAACAAATGGGTGTAGGAGATTTTTAGTTGTCATACTTTGAATATACTTTCCAAATAAATTTGGGTTTTGGAAATTACTTTCCAAAGAGACTTTTTGATGCTGTTTTGGTCCTGTTTTGAGAGGACGAGGAGAGCAACTAGGAGCAGCTAAGGAAGGGCTTTTCCCTATTCTTAGCCAGCATGAATAGTCTGTTTTTAAGATGAGAAAAGTTTGAGGAGTTGGTTCAGTGAGAGCATTTGGAATTCTGCGTCAGTATTGTGGGCACTGTTAGAACATGGCTTGCTCATGGCCCTGGGATGGGGGGGCTTGTTCATTCATAAAATGGCTGCCATTGTGGCTTTATTAGACATAAGGTACTAATTTCATAGAAAGCAAACTGATGAGAATAAGAGAAAAGTCATTTGCCCAGGAACCTAAAGCAGAGGTGAGGTCTGAGCTTGAAAACACAAAACCACTCTTTTGAACCCAAATAAAGATGATGTGGGATGGCAGAGCTTTGCAGTATTACCACATTTCAGGTTTTTCTAAAGAGTCTTAAGAAATAGAATAAAACAAAATTCAGGAGAAGCAGGGAACCTGGCAGGTGTCTATAGGCACAGTGGTGCCCAAGGCAATCATACTGAAGACCTGCGCTCTAGGCAGGACCTGACTGAAGGACAGGCAACTGTGAAGACTGACTGAAACCCTGGGCTGGGTCCACACGCCACAGGATGCCTACTCATCTCTTCATTCCATAGCTGAACCAGCAGTGCAATTGGTTCACAGTCACTTGTAAAACTGGTTCCTGTCCAGTTTATAGCAGGGAAATGTACGGCCTTGGTGCCCATTCAACACGTGGATGATAGGGTAACCCAGTGTGGTGTTGGGATTAGACTTGGGAGATCCTAGACTTGAGTTTCTACCCAGCCATGCAGCTTGCTGGGTAACTTTGGGCCACTCACTCACTCTCAGCTTAACCTACTTCATAGTGTTATGAGGATAAAATGGAGAGGAGGAGGACTACATGAGCCATCTTGCATTCCTTACAAGTGGAAAAAAAGACAGGATATAAGTACAATAACAAGGGGTATGATTGATTCAGTAAACATAATGGAACACTATGAGATTAGTAAGACTGAAGCCTACATTAACACAACACTCATTTTACTCTTTTTGTTGTAAGCATGACTAATTGTGGTATTATAATTGAAATAAAATAGTTCAGTTATTCTATAAGTGGATTAATTTTATACTAATTTGTCTAGTAGAAGGTCCAAGAGACCTACTCAGTCCTTGGAAGGTCTCCTAGAATCTTCCAGTCTTTCCTAGAAGTACAAACCTTCTGGAATGTTCCCAGGAGTACTTCATAGTGACAGTATCCCTGTGCCATTCCTAACAAATGAAGGGACTACCAAAGCAGACCTTGGAACTGTTTCAACAAGATCACTCACAGGGCCAGAGGAGGGTTGCCATATCCCTTTCTTGTGGTTATCGTTGTTGTTGGATGCTCCCATTTGGACGAATGGGGAGGTTTCTTTCCTGGTCCCTATAAACAGCATAAGCAGTGGGGTGGCCATTTTCATCAGGGCCACATAGAGTAGGTGGGGGGTGGGGGAGGTAAAAATCTCCAGTCCTGATCCTGATTCCCACCTCCTTCCCTTTCTATAGCTGCTCTGTCCATTTCTACACAGATTTACCCAACATATGGGAAGCTTTTAGCATCAGGTGCAGTCTGGCCCCTCTGCAACAAGTAAACACGTACAGAAGCATTAAGGGAAATCAGCACTTTAAAAAAGTGTCTGGAAAGGCCCCAGGCCTCCGAAATGACCTTGAGACTTGGAAGCTGCAATCATGAATAAATTAAAGAACCCACAAGCATAAATAGACAGGAAACAAAGATGGGCTGAAGGAAGCCAGAAACATTTAGGGAGTGCTTATGCGGCATCCGGGACAAGACCCGGCTGGCTCCCTTCTGGGCAATACCGCGGGCTTTCGGAAGTGACCGAGATGATGAAACTGATAGGTTTTCAGTTTGTTCCACATTCATGCATACATTTCCAAAAAGGAAACTATTCATTTTATCTGAAACAAAGGTTGGCAATAATAAATCCATTCAGAACCTCCAGCCAGTCAAATAGATGGCAGTCCACGAAAACTTCTTAACTGATTTGTGATAATAAAACTCATCTAGAATGGTTACCCACATTCTTGATGTTCTTGGTGTTGAAAGGAAGCTATGAAATTTGATATATAAATTGACTTTAGATATGTGATTTTCACTGTGGCAGCTACCATATGGGTCAGGCTTTCTGCCACTTCTACTTAGTATAAAAAGGAAGGTTCACAAAATGCTTTCCTAACATGAGGTGATTAATCTGCTGCATCTACTTTCCAATTATGTTACAGAATCGAGAGCCAAGCCCAACGTGTTTCCTTTCCTGATTTTCCCCTGCACAGCCTCCAGGTGGCACTGAAGTACAGCCGAATAGCACAAATGCACAGAAGGAAATGGCAATTACTCTTGCAACGGCAATTAAAATTCTTGTTTTTCCTGCTGGAAAACAAACAAACAAAACAACAACTCACTGAAAGTGATGGTTAGACACAGAAGTGTAACTGGAGGGTCCAACATCATCAGAAGAGCCTGTAAATAATAAATGCCTCCTATAGAAAGGCTGAAAGTATTTTACATTTTTAAAAGGAGCGCCAGTGTGGCACCAACACTTACTGTGGCCATGTCTGTCACCTGCATCATCTTGGCTCTGGCTCCTATGCTGGCAGATGTATCTCTGCTTTCCCTGGCCTGGTACCCTCCAGATGCGTTGGACTACAACTCCCAGCATTCTTCAGCCAGACTGACTTGCGCTCATGCTGGAAGTTGCCGTTGAGAATATCTGGAGGCCATCAGGTTGGAGAAAAATGATGTCTCTGGTTGTAACTGGTGCACAGTTGCCTACAAAGTCTTAGCTCGGATGGATTCTTCCTTGCCCTGGGTTTATGCTCCCATGTATTTATTTATTTAGTCAATTTATTTTCTGCTATACTTGTCCAAAGACTCCAAGCAGATTAAAATATTACATAAAATAACAATATTCCCAAGGGGCATCCAAGGGGACAGCTGTGCGGTACAGTTACCCATCCTCAGGCTGAAATATGAACTCTGTAATTGGCTCCACATCATGAGAGCCAGTGGAGTTAAGTGATTAAATGCCCAACTAGGACTGAAGATACCCAGGTCTGATTCCACACTCAGCCATGTAATTCAGGATCCTGGGCCAGTCACCAGCTCTCAACCGAAGTTAACTCCGACAGTTGCTGGCAGGGTAAAATGGGACACAGGGAGATGACTAAAGAGAATATTAACAGGAGTTAACTTCTGCTAGAAGCCCAAGGGTATGGAGCTGTAAAGATCAGCCTGAAGGAATGATTCTAATTAACTGTCTCTGATCTTGATATTTGGAGAGTGTAATACGTCTCAGTGGTTTTTACATTTTTCAATATGCTTCAGTCTTGATTTCCAAGTTTGTCTTCAATTAACTTTGTGCTTAATTGTATGTTTTGACTACTGAATCAATTACAGGCTGAACATTTATGGTTCCACAAGCAGGTCTGTGGGAACGGGGAAAAGTCCCAAGAGAAGAACGGTATTATTACACTGAAGCTGCCCTGAATTTCAGAACCTCTCTTTCATTTGGCATGGCTTGGCCAGTAACAATGAATGCTAATTAATGGACAATCAAGGCTCCTTAGGGATGTGACAGCTACCTGCCTCTGGAGAACCTGAAACATGTTTGGACCTTGATCTGCTAGGTGGGAGCAGTGGTGGTGATGGGAATTGTTTTAGAATGTGACCAGGGAAAGGGAAACAGTTTGAGTTTTTGAAGTGTGCATGTGTGTGTACTGGTGGGAGAATACCATGTGTGTTCTTTTGTTTGAGGGGAACTAATTCTGCCGTAAGAATAGCACTGTATTTCCAGGTACCTGCTTTCTCTTTGTTCCCATCCTACTTGATCGACCTGTAGATAAGCAGATTTTAAAAGAAGCAAATAGCTCCACTAGTGCCTCCTTGAATAGAAAGGGTCTGGTTCTAAGTCTTCCTACTGCATCAGATTGGCAGGACATCAAAAACTAAGGATGCAATCATATGCCTATTGAGACAGAAACTCCCCACTCCCAACTCACAGCCTATGGCTGGGAAATGCTGAAAGTTATAGGACTTTTGTGTATCTAGATAGGATTGCACCCTTAAAAACAGTTCCACATGCTTTCTGGCCCAATTGCAGTGGTGCTCATAAGTAATTGATCACAGTCAGTTACAGGTTCTGCACAGTTATATTTTTTAGACTATGTTAAAATTACTCACATTTGGAAATGTGGTGTTCCAATGGTTATTACTACACCTTTACTAAAAGGAGATCAGGAGGCACTTGAGGAAGATCCCTGCCTTCCATCTGGACAGGAGAACAGCTGGACTGGAGAGCTTTCCATCTGAGGCAGCCTGCCTGTGTACATCACTTGCTGAGGAGCTTGGGCGGACGGGATTCTTCCCCATCTTGCTTGAGGGATCCTGTGGGCAGCTGTTTTGCCTTTGGTGTGAACCAGCATGGCTGTTCCTATGTAAGATCCAAGTATCTCCAAATGGAATCTGGAAGATGGGATGGAGAACAGCAATGGGGACAAGCAGTTGACATAGAACCATTTCTTGACTTCTTTTTGTGCAATGCTAGCTGCAGAGACAGGAATGCCAGCAACATCCCTGTCTTTGTTTTAAAGTTATTAGCAATAGCCCATGTTTCATACCATCAGGTAGCATCTCTTGCTGATTGCCAGGATGAAGTCAGCACAAGACAGAGGTGTTATAGTCAGTTTTGGCAGGTGTGTAAGGAAAGCCAGCAATGATGCACCCTTAATGTGTTAAGAGTATTTCTCACCTGCTTCCACCATGTTGCAATGAAGGCTCTTCATAATCTCGGTTAATGTCAAATGATGGTTCAGCTGGCTTCTGCTCAGCCATTGGCTTTACTTTTACGGATCCCAGGCAAGTTGTGGTGATAAAGGGTGATGTGTGCCAAGCAGAATCAGCTTTGTGATGGTATTAAGCTTGCAGCTAAAGAAGCTTCTTTAGAGAAGAGAGGGAGAATAAGTGGACTTTGCAACTGCTTTTCAGTTCATGTTCTCACACAGCCCTTCTCTCCATGCAACATGTGCTGAATTGCAGGGCACAATTCAGGGGCCACGACTGTTGGGAGACAAGACTTCCACGATCAGATCTCCAAGAGCAAATTTTGTCTGGAGCACCTTTTGCTTCTGATGCACCACTGTGTTGCTATTTTTTCCCAGTGCAATTGCTGCTCTGTAGGCACACACTGATGAATGTGTCTGCAGGATTTATAATGCGATCAGGTGCCAGACACCCATGCATATTGCGGCAATTATGGGAGACACAGGAGCAATTTGAAAGGTCACATGTGTCGTATGATTTGTGTTTCTGGTGTGAGTGCAGGGCCTGAGCCACAGTGTAGTGCTGCAGTTGCAGGAGAACTTGGGGATTATGCTTCCATTTCAGTCTCTGTGCTGGAATACAGATTTTGAAATAAATTGTGTGGTTACTGAAAGCTGTGTAGGGAGGGGCAATCTGAAAAACATTTTTAAAAATCTGCAGATTTCCTGCCCAAATCACATCAAAACCCATGTGAGGACAGAGTAAGGAGGAGAAAGCTGTGCGACAGGGAGAAGGTGGGGGGATGTGTTGCAAGTGAGGCTCCATAACCTTAACACTACTCTCTCCAGCAAGAATTACAGTACTACTGGACTGGAACATATATTGCACTTCTAGCCTGCCTGCCTGCCTGCCTGCCTGCCTGCCTGCCTGCCTGGGTAAGAGCGTGGGACTGGGACTCAGATGGCCTGGGTTCTAGTCCCCGCTCAGCCATGGAGCCAACTGGGTGACTTTGGGCCAGTCACAGACTCTCAGCCCAACCTACCTCACAGGTGGTTGTTGTGGGGAGAAGATGGAGGAGGAGAATGATGTAAGCTACCTTGAGCCCTTTGTAGGAAAAAGGCAGGATATAAATTGAATAAATAAATAAGCAAAATGTATGTGCAGAATCTAAGGTGGCTTACGCAGCTCCATTCTATGCTTGGTTGAGTGGAAAGGCTGTGCCTGGCCCAGAATCACCCAGTGAGCTTCATGATATCCCCTGCCCGCATTCCAGCACTCCGACCACCACACCTCACTGGCTTGGGAATGCATGGAAACTGCAATTACTGAAAAAATGCCATAAATTGAGTTTTGCCGGGGGGGGGGGGACAGAACACTGAGAGAGCACTAGCACCAAGGCAATGGTTGGGCAGTGTTGCTTTGTGTATTCCATGTGTGAATCAGAGTTTACCTCTCTCCTGGACCACTGTAATGCGCTCTATGTGGGGCTGCCTTTGAAAATGGTCCGGAAATCTCAGTTGATTCAAAACAGGGCAGTGTGGCTGTTGATGGGGACTGACCCATGAGATCACATTACACCAGTCCTTTTTCAGCTGCACTGGCTCCCATGTAAGTCCAGGCCTGATTCAAAGTGCTGGCATTAATATTTAAGCCCTAAATGGCTTGGGGCCAGGTAATCTGAAGGAAGTCTCTTCCTGTATATACCTAACCAGACCTGAAGATCATTTTCTAGAGTCCTTCTTAAGGATCGTCCTCCATTTGAGATAAGGAGGGTGGCAACCAGAAGAAGGGACTTCTTAGTTGTGGTACCCCATTTATGGATTCAGAAGAGGTATGCCTACCCTTTTTTTACTTTCTGGCATCAGGTGAAAACCTTTTTATTTTCCAGGCATTTCAGTAGTTAAAATTTTAATTTTAATATTGCATTTTATATTGGTGCTGTGCTTGCGTTTCAGTTTAACTATGGCAGCAGTGAGCTTGTTGTTACATTGCTGTGTTAGTGATAATTTGTTTGGTTTTATTATTTTTTTGTGATATGTGTCTGTTTTTATACTTCCTTGATTTTTTAGCTGCTCAGACACCCTCCAGGCTATTGGGTGGCAGAAAAATGAAATAAATAAAAATAGGATAAAATATTAGTGTAGATTGGCTCCATAAATTTCTCCCCCTCCTACTTTAAAGCAGCTGTGCTGAAGATGAGTTCTTATTTTTATCTTTTACCCTTTTTATATTTAAAACATGTAATAAGTGGCAAAACCAGTTTTGATCAGAGCTGTGTCGTTGTGAGTGATTTCTTTTTAACTTTTTCCCATCCCCATGTTCCTGATTGCAGCCACTGCTCGGCCCTCCTCCTGTTTGCTTTGCTGGGAGAAAGAAGTCAGGTACCCATATCATGCTTGCCATTTTTCTTCCGGATAGATCAGTGAGAATGGGAAGGATGGAAAAACAGTGCAAGTGGCAACAATTAAATGTACCTTCTCCAGCTCTGTAGCTCCGACAACAACCAGACCTTCCTTACCTGTAACTGCTGTAAAGAAAAGTACATTTTTAAAAAAATTGGGACATCTGGTTATGGATTTCCTTCACCAAGTCTACTTTGCACCTTAGAAGCTGCCTCCCCCTATGTGTCTAGCTACAACTGTAAAAGTCCCCCAACCATGCCTTCTTAATAACTTTGAATATCAGTTCAGAAAGCAAAGATATTCTAGGTGGCTTTCCTTCCCATTTGGGGAACTCCAACCTGCTACAGCCTTGCTGCATTCCATTCTTACTGGACGTGTTCAGAAGCATGGCAGAACTTTAAATGGTGGGTGCCTTTAGGTCTAACAGCAAAGTCAGCAAAAGGTGGGGAAATGTCAGTGGATTTTGTTCACTATTATTCACTGTGTTGTGTTTTGTCACCTGTCTAGAACCCCCCAATAGGATTTCCGTCTAAATAGAAAAATCAGATGAATGTAAATAGCTCTTTTCAGCCCTTCTAGGAAAAGGAAGTTGAGACATCCAACTGCAAGTTGGAAGAACTAGTATGAAAAGCTAAAGAGTCTTTAAACTGTTCCTGAGCCCCAAGCGTGAATATTGTATCTGCATTCATTAGTTTGGCCAGTTCTGCCCCAGATGCATTTATTGTGAGTGGGGGACTCACTTGAAGGGAGCACAAATTGCATTTGGTTTTTGTGTCTTCTTTGCCTTACTCTGCTCATTTTTTCCATTGCTGCTCTTCAAAGCTGTGCTCTTCAAACCATACCCTTTCCCCCCTGGGCAAACTAATTAGTTGCTTTCAATGTATAGCATTTTCAATTTGTGCAAGCTTTCTAGTTACTTATCCAAGTTGCTTGCTTTACATCATGTTCATTATTGCACTTCAGTAATACTTAATGAGCTAGGCTTCTCAACCCGTCAGGCAGGAAGACTCTTCCATTTTCAGCCAGATCTGGTGCTCTGTAGTGTGCGAAGTTGCTGAGCCAGGAGGGCAGGAAGATACCATGTTGCTTTCCTCAGGGATACTGCACAGTTGAGGAAATGGATGTGCTGTAGCTCAGGGGAAATGCACCTGCCTTGTGCTCTAAAGCCGCTCGCTTTGCTCCTCAGCATCTCCAGGCAGGGCCAGGAAAGATTTCTGTTCAGTCTGAAAGCCTGGAAAGCTCCTGATATGCACTGTATCAGGCGCCCACCCCTTTTGGCATAAGCATGCCTTTGAAAGCAGGTGTCATCTTTTCTTACTATATATTTGTAGAGTGGCAGTGCAGCCATTGCAACCCAGCTGTGAGCCCCACCTGGAGATCAAAAGGGTGTAATACTGAGCCTGATTGACGGATGACTGTTTCCCATATCCCTGAAGAGACCCCTGCCCTCATTATTCAACTAAGCCCAAGCTTGAGCTTCTTCCAGAAAGGTCAGAGTGCTCCCCTATTTTGGCCCATGTGATGATAGAAGGGGAAGGAAAAGATGGGGCAAGGACAATAACGTCTGGCTGGGAGAAGGCTCAATTCATTGCTTGCATGTAGTATCTATTGGATTTATTCCATATCACAGCACCTCCCAGTGAGGCCGGGTTTTACACCGTATTCTGGGACTCCATCTACTCCAGGATGGCCGTGGAGGAGTGCAGCCCAGGGGAGTCATCATGCAGCTGGGCTCGGAGAATGCGCTGACTGACATTTCGGTCAGTCCGTTGTGGGGTTTTCTTGTGCTGAAACTGAAGGCTGTGTTTCAACCATTGCCAAATTTATACAATCTGTCAGTTTCAATCTATCTGGAGACCTTTTTCGGTTCAGTCACTTCCCATGGGAAAAACAGCAATGTTGAAATGTTTTGGGGAGGAGGAAAAAGAAGGAAGGAAGGAAGGATGAACAAACCAGATAATATACAACAGAACTGCCCTGTGATATCCTGCCCTGCAGCTCTTGCATAGAACCCAAATACAATTTCACGACATTTGTACCTACTGGGACATTCCTTCTTCAGCTTGGAATATTCGTTCATTTTATATTAACTGAACAGGCTATTTCTCACCACCACCACCACTCCACTTTGCTTTTACTTTTCTCCCTTTGGGAGAAATAATGTCCTTTCCTATGGCTCATTCTAAAAAAAATAGCAATAAGATGTGGCCAAAACCTCCTGATGCGTTCTGTAAATATTTTCAGCAGTGCCTCCCCTTTGGGTGATTTTTACTGCTTCCAGTGCTAATGCTCATTTATGTGTTTGCAGTGCTCTCATGTGCCCTCAAGTTCCCCATCATCTGGCCAAAGTTCATTGTTTGTATTAATCTGCATGATGTACGTTTACAGAGGTCCTGAGACATCATCATGTCAGCCACAATTCAGAGGGATCATCCCTGGACGAATCTAGGAAGAAGTCAGGAACAGTTGCTGGGGGAAAGGATGCAGCTGCCTTATTTGTTGAACTGTACAGAGTCCTACAGAAAGCTTTAGCTATTGGGTGATGCTTATTTGTTTATATTTATTTATAGCCTCCCTTTTGCCTGCAAGGAAAAAAGACAGGTTATATAGTCCTCCTTCTCTTCTCCATTTTACCCATTTTTAACAATCCTGTGAGGGAGTTTAGGCTGA